AGCATTTAATTTAATCGACTCTTTTAGGTTTAAATTCTAACATGCTGGGAAGCTAAATGATGATCCAAATCATTTTCTTTCAGTAACATGTTGCATTAGGAATAAAGACCAATACCGATTTCTATCTTAAGAGCAAATATTTTCCAGCCGTCCTGCTTTTATCTTTTTTAGAAATTAGCTTTTTTTGTCCCTTATTTTTTATAGTATCAAAGACTTCTTTAGTTCCAAATCAGAACCCAAATATTCAGACCTGAAAGAAAAGCAGAAAAGCCATTTTGGCCAAGAAAGGTTTGGCTAGCTGCTAGCAGCTGGCTACCTGATTCTAGTTCAATTTGATCTAAAAGCACAGAAAGCTCTAAGCTACGATCAGTTTACTGTTTGATGATCAGATGCACGGATCAGGCTTTGAGCGGCTGATGCCGATTTCTTTTCAGGACTGACCTGTTGGAGGAGATTTGACACAAAAAGGTGCAGCAGGTTTGACAGTCCGGTAAATGGCTGCAAGGTTCAGGAGGATAACTCACACCTGGAGCCTCTTTATTAGTTTTAATAAAGCCTGAACTATGTTGGATCATGATTGTTTAAATCACACAGAAAACAAGGCTTTCTGTGGTTTGTTGGCGAATCGATAACAAAAAACCCCCAGAAAAATCAGAACCAATCAATGGTTGCTTAAAAATATTTCCGCTTTTATATTTGTTTTTCTAAATAAAATCAATTGGCCCATAGCGGACATCTGTGTTTAGACTTATTTTCCTATACGAGATCAAACCATTAGATTTATCTTTAGGCGGCCCATGCTCAAGTTCTACTTGGAGTGGAAGGTAACAGACAGTCAAGCTTTTCCTACCACCTGCTTCTTGGTGTTCAGCTTTCATCAAACGGATTAAAAACACATAAAACATTAAAATCACAGGGATCATTCCCTCTTATAAACTAACGTGCCTCAATCAGATTTGACCGGCATGTTTGTGTGTAAATAATGACATCACATGCCGTTAGAAACAAAATTAAATAAAAACAAGATTGGCAAAGAAAAAAAAACCCAAACAAATTGATTCAGTATTGCATGTAAATATCGTATAAAATCCTTAAAAATACAGTTTCGGTAACTAATGAAGTACTGAAATCATCACAGCCAAAAGTGCAGAGGTCCATAAATAAAACTGGGGGTAGACTAGAGGAAGGGGGGCCTTCCTATCATGACCCCCCATGAATGAGTGCCAGGTCAGGGGTCAGAGTTCAGGAACTGGGATCAAGAAGTTCTCAGATTGGTGCAGAGGAAAGAGGAAGGTTCTTCATGGATTCTCTCCTATGTTCGCTTCAAAGTAAGGGTTGGGGGGGGCTGCAGGTGGAGGTAGGGGGTTTGTGGGGGGGGCAGCATGGAGGCAAACCGGCAGGGTGAGTAAGGCCGCGTGGATCCAGGTTGTTTTGTTTTTTTATCATCTTACTGTAAAAAGGAGCGTGTCGCCCTGAGCCGCGCAGGGAGGCAAATAAAGAGGAGTTAAAGCTTTCCAAAACACAGGAGGGGGAGGAGCTGTCCCACAGTGGGCCGGTGTGTGTGATAATCTGACAGAAAAGAGGACCAAAACACAGCAAGCGCCTGAATCAAACTGATGGAGAGAAAAAAAAAGAACTGAGCCGCAGGAAAAAACGTGAAATACAAAAAATACGAGACAACTTTCCAGAACCAGGACCGACTCCATCCTGGCAGCAAACATGGCTTCCACGCCTCATTTCTGCTGCTCATACAGTCCTGTCTGATGGAGAAGGCCTCAGTGACCCCCGGGGGATTCCCGTCTCATTTTGTTTACTGATCAGAAGCGTATCTGATGGGTTTATAATTTAGGACGACTGGAGACTCAGCCTCTTTCAGCTTCTCCTAAACTCAACCTTCAGAATCTGTTAGGATGCAGGAGGAGCTCATCGTTTCATCTTCCAAAGATGGAAACACAAACTGCTCAAAGGTTAAACGCAAGCTGAAGGACGTAGATGAAAACTGGACCCTGTAATGTCAGCAGTTTGGTCATTTGAAAGAAAATAGTAAATAAAAGAACTGGAATATTAACGTCCTCATAGCCGCTCATACATAATTAATGTGGAGAATAAGCGAGTCTGACTCTTCAGTGCAGCGTAGCCCTTGATACGTAATAAAGAGCACTTTTACAATAACAGGAGAAAATGGAAATAAATCCTTTTCCAGAACTGAAAAAAGAGAAACACTAATTTAAGACGTGTAGGAACCCGGACCTCGTCTCCCATCACCTAATCACACAGATTCTTTTGTGCTCTAGATCATCTCTACTAATCCGGGACAATATTTCATTTCTTAAGTATTCACACCCCTTTAACATTTCCACACTTTTAAGCCGGGATTCATTTTATTGGGAAACGATGCAAAATGTCGACAAACTGCAGGGAAAATCGTGAAGTTTAAGGTTTTCCCTTTTCTCCTCAAATAAGAATCTGAAAAGTGTGGCATGCTTTTGAAGCCCTTAACTAAAATTCAGGCCAATTAGCATGTAGTTAAACTGGAGCCAAACTTTTTTTATATATATATATTTTCCATCTAAAAAACAAAAAATAAGATTAAACACAAATGTATTTGGAAAAAAAAAAAAATTAAAATTGACAAATATTTTTAAACTTTAAAACTAAATAAATATTTGAAACAAGATCTAAGATTTATTTTAAGATGTTGCATTCAGTGACTGTGGGAGATTTTGTTACAATTTCCAACCATGTCTTTATCTTCAGATTAAATATTTTCCCCGTTTCAAATCTTTTTCAGTTTTTAAATTATTTTGAAGTTTTAAATAACTATTGTTTTTAAGCTTCAAATTATTTTTCTTTTAATAAACTTTATTGACCCAGTTTAGCTCCAAAAACCACCCAGTGAGTAGAAAGAGTCATCCTGTAAATCTAATCTAATCTCGTTAAGACTCTAGCGACTCTGGGACACCTTCAGATGTTTGTTTGAGAAGAAAGCTTAACTGCAAACCGTCTGTCTGTCCGTCAGGCCAGGCAGGAGGAGCCCAGAGCATCATAACTGGAAGAGCTGCATGGATCCAATACCAAGGTGCAATCGGCTGAGGGTAGAACTATTGACCTGCACTTCATGGAAAAGCTGCTGGATATACCCCATCATGGCAGTGGCAGCATCATGCTGAGCGATATTTTCCTTCAGCAGCAATAGAAACTCTAAACCTCACTAGGACGGTTCAGATTAAAGTATCGCTGCAATCTAAATCCAACTGTCTTAAAAATAAAAACGCCATCTTGCAGGGCTCAGCTTTTATTTTAAAGAACAGGGTGCAGAGATCTTTTTCCTTGCACTTCACAATTAATACCGCTTATGTCTGACCGAGCTGTAAAATCCCACTAGAATAGTTATTAGTTTGTAGCTGTAACCGGCATAAACTTGAGCAAGTTCCAGGGGCGTGTAAACAAAGTGGAGCAGAGGGGGTGGAGGGGCTCCTTTTTTACCCCACTGTTATGGTTTTTAGTGCCCGGCTTCCATGGATCAAATGCGCCGCCGTTCAAACAGCAGAGGAGGGAGCGAGCGGCCTTTCATCGACAATGACAAACAAAGCAGAGCTAATTAAAGCGAGAAACTACCACAGTATCCTGACATTTCTCTTTTAAACAAAAAGCTGAACGCCAACCACCAGAAGCATCAATTATCAGGTCGGACCGACACGGATATTCTGGATAAAAGGACCAGAGATCAGAGGAGGAGAAGATGGAAACCATTAAGACAATACTGGGTATACAGGCATCCTGTACGACACTCGGGGAGGCAGGAGGGGGGGTCATTGTAAAGGGGAGGGTTGTTTTTTATCTGTATGAGCAAAACTAGCAAAGCACCCCCCTCTCCCCCCCGCTTGGTGCTATGCACTGCAGAAAAAGGCACTGGAGTGGGGCTGTTACAAGCCGTAAAAAACTAAGAGCAATATACATTCAGAGCTCACAGGTTATCTTGGGAATAAATACAGAAGATGCACTCGTAGAAAAATAAAATGTAAAAGAAGAAAAAAAAGAAAAAGGGAAGCTGCCCCCTCCCCCTTATTTTGGATTTAGGAAAAACAATTATGGCTACTTTTATGTCTTTATTAAACCCCCACTAGAACCTAACCCCACCTGGAAGGCAAATGCAGGAGCGATCCTCCACTGCTGTGGTCGCGAGCATTTCAGCCCTTCAACACATGCAAAACATGATGGGGGGGGGGATCTGTGTGTTGGGGGTCAAGGTTCAGCATTCTGCAGCAAAGACACTCAACAAAACGTCTTCTCAAAAGTACAGAGACAGAGAGTGGAGGTCTCAGACCACAGGAACCATTTTTTTTTTCCCCCTCCTCACCGTGTTTACAAGCACTGAAAACTTTACAGCAAAGAGGAAACTAAGCTCTGAGCAGAACTTTTCAATCACGGGGTTCATTTCTACAGGATTTATGAGGACTTTGTCCACTTTGACATTTGAAATGTGGAGAGAAAAGAAAAGGCTTCAGGTTTGACCTGAAAGTTTCAACCAAAGTTGAAGTTAATTCGTATTTGACCGACCCTCAGTCAGAGCCAATCGAAGGAAAATCTGCTAACAATGATCCACCTCTAAGACTAAAACAAGCCGACTTAAAAAAAAAGCTTTACCGAGTCGCTCGTTCGGTAAAAGAAACACTGGAGATGCACTGATCAGATGGCATCCAAGCATCCACCCCTCCATTTTATCTGATTTACAGTCAACTTAAAAAAATAAAAAGGCATCAAAGTGCATAATGTTGGTTGATGCTTTTATAGACTGAAAAAAGGGATTTATTAGATTTTATTTGGTAAATTATTTTAAATTTGTTCTAGTATAAGAGATATGTCAGCAAAGCTTCTACTTGCTGGAAAATAAAATAAAAAATACATGTTTTAAAAGGTAAAGAAGGACTAAAGAAAGGACAGAGAGATTCCAGGGAAGTCTGTTTGCCTGGATCTGAAAAACAGTTTATCACGTTTTTTAGAAACTTGTTTTCTTGCCATTTCATTCGATTTCTGAATTAACTTAGTTTTTAAGCTATTTTTCAAGCAAGATAAAACCTTTATCTACAGAGAGACACTGTTCAGCACTCTGCCACTGTAAAAATCTGGCCTTAATGTTTCATGTTTATAACATGAGGAACCATTTCTTAAATTTAAAACAAAGGCATTTGCCACTTTCAGGGTCATCGTTGTCCTAATTTAATTAACCTGCAGAGGCAAGAAGAGTCCAATTCGCCCTTAAAAGGGTTGTATAGTTAAAAAAGAAAATATTTTTGACTTACTGAAATCATAACTGATGAGAGGCTAAAGGAAGAAGTAAATTAAAGTTGTTTTTCAGTGCTTATAAACTAATAATGTCAACCTGGGGGTTAGTGGGGCAGAGTGGCTGGTGGGAGAAATGCGACCGGCTGTTTGTGCTCAAGTTTCACATGCGAAGAATCAGAAACCACAAAGACAACGCGACCTCCTGAAGCTCAGCAGCACGGCTCTGACAGACTCACAAACTGCTCTCAAACTCAACTCAGGAGTGTGATGGAGGAGAAACGAGCTCCAGCTGACAGCGTGGGGGAAGGAAGGAGCTGGAGTGGGGCTTTGCTAATTTAGGAGTGTGCATGAAAAGAAGAAGAGGAAGAAAAGGAGGTGGATATGAGGTCTGCGAAGGCGGGAGCAGTATAAGTGCAAGGAGGGGGGTGGGGGTTCCACAGCTCGGCACAGATCCGAAGTGAGTGTAGTGAAAATCCTGACCAGACGGAGGTCAGACGCTCTGGTTTTTCCTCACACACCACCCTCCTGCTCCTCCCCCTCCTCCTGCTTCCTCCCCGGGGTCACGTGAAGGTGGTGCTGTGTGCTTGCGACTGTTTGTGTGTTTCTGCTCTGCGGTGTGGTTGTTCGATGCTCCAGTCAGGCTTGTGAAGAGGCTGCGGCAGACGCTTCTGCTCATCTCTTCCGCAAAGAGCGGCCGTGATGGCGAGGCTACCTCTGCCGCCGACGTCCACGCGCCGCCGCCCCCCCCTGCTTCCTGTCACGTGGCCGTCGCCTCCAGGTAGCTCTGTAGTTTGCGGACGGTGGACTCGTCCAGTGAAAAGAGGTCAAAGTCAAAGGTGGTGTTCGTCACGTTAAAGTGGCCGGTCTCCTCGATCAGGTTGACAATCTGGAGGAGAATTCAAATCGGTTAAATTCAGACGTGAAGAATGGAGGAACGATGGCTGCACAGAGTCACCGTTTTTATGGGGACTTCATGCAACAGACCAACAATAAGATTTAAAAACAATGTTTTTGTTTATTACATCAAATCTCCACAAAGTAATTTAGGCAGTGAATCCTCATCAGTTGTTAAACAAAAATGTTTTCATAAACACACCTGCTGCAGGACATTTCGCTCCCTTAACGCCATCAGTCTGCGGTGGAGGTCCACCAGTTCCTCTGTGTAGGCCTGCAGGGTTCAGAGATTTTCAAAAGTTCAGCAAAAAGTTGGAGAAAATAGAAGCCATAAAGTTTAATGCTAAGGAGACTCAGGAACGTAGATAGCTCATTTGCTCTGAACCTTAGGGGTGGGGTCTAAAGAAAGATTTGCACACCTAAAACTACAAGATGTCCTCCAGATTTTACTTTTAGTTTTGAACAAGTTGTGTTCAAATCTGTTTGCGCCATGGAAACGAGTGTAAATGAAGCTGCTGACTTTTCTGAAATAATGTAAGAGCATCTTTTCGCTGAAACTGCATGCGCCGCCATGTTGCATCATTTACCTCTGCAGGGGCCTGCTCTGTGTGGACTGATGTAGGAGTTTTTCTGTGGCAGCACCACCAATGGATCGGCATAAGTACTGCACAGTCTTCAACACAGTCGCGCCTCATAGTTTACCACAGTAAAAGATGCCAAACATCAATATTTAATCCTTTTTACAAAAAATATCCTTAAAGTTCCTTTTTCAAATTAATCATGTATTAAAGTATAAACAGTCTCTTTGTTTTAATGAAAGAAACAAATCTCTTCTAGCTTAATATTTTTTGTATTTTGCTTTTTTTTTTTTTTTCCCCTTTCCTTGTTTAGATGCGTTTAATAAATGGACCCAGGTCTGGTTTTAGTAAAAGTTGATAGAAAACTAAAAGGGTAGCAAAATATCACGAGATTAAAATTGGTAAAAATCATATCCTAAGAAAAGTTCAAAAGGCCCCAAAACTACATAATCCAACAACCCTGGATTAGATGAAAATCAATAATTAGGTTCAGAGTCAATACAAAATATCGAGGGTTTGAAGCACTTTGAAAGTTTTTTTCTGAACTAACCTTTAACTGTATGATCTAGAAGGTATTGGGGAGGAGGGTTTAATCTAATTCATTCTGAGGTCCATAGATTTTTTACAAGAAACCATGATGCTAAAATGTAACCAGAAAGTTTGGTCTCTTTATTACTTTATCTTGTAAGAGTAGAAGATTCATTTTGCAGCAGGAGAGTTGGAGTTTGAATGTAAAAAGTTTGATTTACCCTTCCTACCTTGTCGTATCCCTTCTTCATCACCTTCTCAGAGCGAAAAGAGGAATCGGGACTTTTTCGGACCACCTGTAGCAAAAGATCGGAGGCAAAGCAGGAGTAGAAGTGATCTGAAGTCTTAAAAAAATGAAAAACTAAGGAAATATCTGGGGAATAAAATAAAAGCACAACAGAAACACAAACAACATTTTAAGCAATTCTACCTTTGTGTATTTCAGCAGTTAGATCATTTTTTATTCTGGCCTTTTATTCTAAATAGTCTTTTGACTATTTCCTTTAGAAATGTCTGTGTTGTTATGTGTATTAATAAATGTTTGTATCTGGCGTGCTTTGGTGGCGCAGTGGTTAGCGCACACGACGCATGTATGGAGGCCTTAATCCTCGATGCGGCCGACCTGGGTTCAAATCCGACCTTTGGTCCTTTCCCGCATGTTTCTCCCCTTCTCTTATACCCCCTTTCCTTTCAGCCTACTGTCCAAAAAAAAAAAAAAAAAGTCTCTAGAGCCGTAAAAATTAAAAAAAATAAAAACAACAAATGTTTGCGTTGCCTTATGACAACGGATGAGATGTAGCTCTGGAGCTAACTGACATATTTACATAGAAGCATCGATTAATATGCACCGTCCTAATTCTAAATAAAAAAAAAGAAAACAAATATCTAATAAAAAAATATCATCTACACGATCCTATCTCTGTCACTAAATGTTTACCTTTCTTTGCTTTGAAATGTATAAACAGTAGAGACAACCAAACACCAATTAAAAAAGACAATCAGTTAATATTGTTAATATCAGTTAATATATACAGATATTTTGCATATTACGTGTCGATACAAAGAGACCCTTCCAGTATAAAAGAAAATAAAAGAAATAGGAGTGGACCGAGTTCAGTGGGTCCGAGTCCCTCCTTCAGGAGCGCAGATCTACAACACTCGGCTGCAGATTAACAAAGGCTAGTGTTGATTTGCTGCTAAACAGTGAAAATATAAACAAACCATCCATTAATCCTCAGGCAATAGAGACAATCATCATTAACAGGTTCCGAGGTTGACAATCATTAGCCTCGTGAGACCATCCTGATCTCGCAAGCTTTCAAGATTTCACTCACAGATCAGTCTTAAGACTCCGTTGAAGAAAATTTGGAGCTGTTCACCAAACGAACGTCCAATCAGCGTTGGCTTTGAGGCGGGTTGAGGTGTGACGCAACGAGAAGCGCGACAGTTCAGTCTAAAGAACATGGC